AACGAACTACCCCCCGAGATCCGGACGATTCCGGATCTCTTAACCTTCCGCCGCGCCCTCAAGACATGGCTTTTTCAACAAGCGGGCCTGACCTAGGGTGAGTTTTAAATAGGGACAATTTTTAACGATTTTAAAGAGCCACAGCTACCAATATTTGGGTTTTAATTGGTTTTTAGTAGGGGAAATTTTTTATTTTTTTATATGATGTTTTAATATGCTGTGAGCCGCCCTGAGTCCCATGGGGAGAAGGGCGGCATATAAATCCTGTAAAATAAATAAATAAATAAAATAAATGCCAGAAAATACGAGTATTCTATTTTATTCCTTTACACATGTTGTTTGGCATATTACTCATCAAGTTTTCTCCCCCCCCCCCCTCTCGCTCAAACTCTATATTTTAACTGGAAAAGTTGGGGGTCGTCTTATACGCCCAGTCGTCTTATACGCCAGAAAATACGGTATATATAAAAAAGACTGCAAATAGAGGAAAAACATTAAAACCATGTACAAGAGGCTAAAAATATACAGTCTGCTTAAATTCAATTGGTTTTAATAAAATAGATCTAATCTATTATTTTGTTTAGTGGTAAATTCAAGTGTAAGCTAATGTCGATTAAGGATTCTAAAAGTTAATTATTTCTAAGTTTCCATAAATTTGACACTTATTGTACTCAAATTTCAGCAGCATATTTTTAGAGGCATTTCTCACTGGATTTTGATCAGAAAAAATTGTTGAGTCACTAGCATAATTTTGTGCAACTGTCATTCAAAGTCTAGATCTGAATCCTTTAGAACAGAGGTCCCCAACCTTTTGAGCATCAGTGACCGGTTCAGTGGAGAGAGATTTTTCCACGTATCAGAGGGGGTGTGGTTTTGTGTGCTGCCTGCATCCCATAGATGGGGCTTTACTTGTTTGTGCAGACTGGTTTCTGGCATGCCGTGGCCCAGTGCTGGTCCACAGACCGGGGGTTGGGGACCCCTGCTTTAGAATCTGATGAAACAACAATACATTACATAACTACAAGGCAGATGGACATTTTTTTAAAAAAAGTAGCCAACACCAATGTTTTCTAATAGGTTAATGAGAATGAATTTCATAATTGATATCCAATGGAGAAGATGGGGAGAATGGTAGACATACTACACAACAAGAACTCAGTTAATACAGTTATGCCTGAGAGACTGTCTGGCACTGTAGCACACTTCTTCTTTTTTCAAAATTATTGCTATTATTGAACAGATATATGGTTGAAACTTCTTTTTTTAGTTTATATATTTGTTTGTGCATATGTTCTTGTTTTCACTTTAATTTTGTGTTTCACAACTGAAATAGGCATGATTATCTAAAAATCACTCCTTTCTTAGCACAATTTACATTTCTAAATTTATCTAATCACATTGCATTACATTACAGAAATATGATTTTGGAATCACATAGAATGAAGCTTCCTGGCAGAAGACAGGGATAGTTGAATGAAATCATGAGTAGGAATACCCTGTTAGAAACTATAAAGGCCATGTGTTGCAGGCATTTGATAAATGAAATTAAGTAGCAGTAAATGCAATTTTATGTTAACATCATTCACTTATACAAGATTTAACTCTTCTAAGCTACAACCTTTAGCCAATTGACTTACATGGCTAGGACAGCATTTGGGTTATTCTGATATGCTTGGCAAGCTTCCTCTCCAGTTGGGTGAACGAAGGAAGAAACATTTTCTTTGAATGAAAGTTTATGGGACAAAATACATTCATTTCTTTCTGGATCAGCCTTAGCACAACAGTCATTAATTCCATATTTATTGGAAAACTCTTCATCATGGCAGAGTACATCCAAGAAAACTATACTCTAGAGAAAGAAAAAAATATGGCTCTTAAATAAGCAGTACTAGCAGTAATTTATATAAATAATATCCATTTCAAGTGATATGGGTTTGGGGAAAATGAGGCAGAAGATGCATATTCCGTTAATCCTCATTTAAATCACATGATTTGAGATTGGGATCCAGTTCCATATAGGAAATCAGATACTTTCTGCTAGCTTATTTGTATGCATTTTTCCCAAAGAAAACATCAAGAGAAACAAGAAATAATAATAATAATAATAATAATAATAATAATAATAATAATAATAATAATAATAATAATAATAATAATAATAATAATAATAATAAACCTATTAAGCAATTTCTGCCCATCTTTCATTGCTCTATGTAGTCCACTGACCAGGATTCGTGGATTTAGATGTCAAGGTTTAGGTGTGTATGTGTGTGTGTGTTTGTGCAGTGCCTGTGTATGTTATGTGTGATGTGTGTGTGTTTAAAATTAGAGAAATATCCACATACATACAAATATGTATGATAGATTACTCCAGATTTAATAAAATTTAAAATTTAATATTTTAAACAATTTCCTGCTCATATATTATCATATATATCTTTCATTTATAAATTATTTTTCTAGACTAGTTGTTAAAAAAGAACTAAAAGCTAAGTTATAATTCTCTTTTTCAAATAGGGAGAAAGAAAGAAAGAAAGAAAGAAAGAAAGAGGGAGGAGGGAGGGAGGGAAGGAGGGAGGGACGGAGGAAGGAAGGAAGGAAGAAAGGAAGGAAGGAAGGAAGGAAGGAAGGAAGGAAGGAAGGAAGGAAGGAAGGAAGGAAGGAAGGAAGGAAGAGCCAAAGATCAAAATTATTCTTTCAGTAGCTTTGTATCTCAAAAACCTCCACCAAATAGAAACCTTGAAAAAGATTCTAAACAAGCTATATTAAAAAGCAGATTAATGGGTTATTTTCATCTTTTTAATGGTATTTTCTTAAAATAAAGCAGTGTTTCCCAGCATTAAAAAAAATTCCAGACATGTGGATCAACACTGAAAACACTGAGTTAAAGGATACATTATAATTATTCAAAAGTAAATAGCTCTGAGTCTTTTTTGAGTAAGTTTGCATATTGTTTCCAGTAAAAAAAAAGACACCCTAATGGCTTCAGAAATAGTTTTGATTAGTGTATGATCCTCCCAGATTGTTGTCATATAACCAAGTTAATAAAATGCAATTTAATACAGGAGTGAGCAATTTGGGGGGATATTGTTAGAATGGCTGGCCCAGATATTGCAGCTTGGTTGGAAGTTGGAAGGACAGACATGTTAAGGGTTTTGATTTGGAGGAAAATTGATTTCTTAGGAATGGAGTTAATGCACTTATTTTACCCTTAAAAATATACCAATATATATATACTCCAATTTAGCTTCCAAGCACTTACCAAAGGTTTAGTACATTCTGTGCCTGAATCAGCAGTATGACGACATTTCTGATAAAGTGCTACAGCAGTTTCTGCCAGTTTTTTATTATTATTATTAATTATTATTATTATTATTAATTTAATTTATATACCGCCCTTCTCCCGCAGGACTCAGGGCGGTGCACAGCGTATTAAAAACAATACAAATACAAAGCATAAAAATACAAACCCCTGTAAAACCAGATTAAAAAACCAAATATTAGAAGCTGTGTCTCTATTTAAAATTATTTTTAAAATCACCCTAAATAAAATCCTCCCTAGGTCAGGCCCGCTTGCTGGAAAAGCCATGTCTTGAGGGCACGGCGGAAGGTAAGGAGATCCGGAATCGTCCGGATCTCGG